CAGTATATCTTATGTGTATTAGCAAAAGCAACGAACAAACGAATGAAGGAAAAAAATAAACACCAACAAAAAAAATCGTTAAAAACATTAGAACATAATAGGAAACCTAAAAGAGATGAAAGCTGTAAAATTAGTTTTGCATTGAAATTAGAAAATATATGTATTATATATATATATAAATTAGGGCAACACATATCTTCTATAATAATCGAATAGAAATAGGAAATTTCCTAATCTATATTCTATAATATGTATAATATTTTTCGCATAAATCTATAAAATATTTAAGACCTTTAAATTAAGAAATTTCATAATCTAAAATTGATTTAGGAAATTAAATCCACAAAAATTTGAAAATTATTTGGATTTATGAGCTAATGATATAAAGAAATCATGTCTTATTATTCAATTATTATCAACAAAAAAAAAATTAACATAATTCTAAATATTTGACGTGGCATGCTATTATAGGTGGATTTAAATTATATATGGACGTTTTTAGGAGTTTATAGCCTCAACTTTTATATAGTATAGATAGTAAAAGTTGATACAGCGAAGGTTCATATTACAAATACTTTGTATTTAAATAAAGGTTTGTATAATGATTTAAGAAATACTTAATTTTCTGTAACCATTGACATTTTTTTTTGGTCAACAACCATAGACATTCTAAATTAATAGGATTCGACATGAGTTAGACCCACATAAAAAAAAAATTATCACTCTTAACACAACCATTCAACCAAAAATACTTAGTCCAAGTTCATATACTAACATAATTTGTTTTCTCTTTGATAAAAAAAAACATTAATTTATTTTAGACTTGATGTAATATTGTAGCACTTATCAATATAGTAATTATTTTACATTGCCTTGTCTCGCATCACTTTTATGTCAATTTTATATTTTACAAGCTCTAATATTTTAATTTAAGAAAATTGGTTTAATGAATCCAATATAATATTTTCCACTATGTACATATTTTAAAATTTTTAGTTGATATAAAGAAAGTTTAATTACTTTGACCACACACACAAAAAAAAAGGTTTAATTACGTGGGAAAAAATGTTTTAACTGTTTAATCTATTAAAAGTAAGTAAAAATTTTGAACCACGTGTCATACTGACGTCAGTAATCCACAAATGTACTCAGCAGCCAATGGGATACAGGGAAAGAAAAAACAAATGTGTTTTTTCAACACCTTTGTTTACCTCAAGGGCAATTTCATAACTTCATCCGTTCCGAGGAAAACCAAACCCAAACGGAAAAAAGGTTAAATAGAATTTTTAATTAATTAAGAGAATTAGTGAAATTAAAAACGAGATATAATAAAAAAGAACAAGAGAACGCAAAAAATA